TCACACATTGGTAGGTATATCACTCACCTACACATCTCTCCACTCACACATTGGTAGGTACATCACTCACCTACACATCTCCCCACTCACACATTGGTAGGTACATCACTCACCTACACATCTCTCCACTCACACACTGGTAGGTACATCACTCACCTATGCGTCTCCCCACTCACACACTGGTAGGTACATCACTCACCTATGCGTCTCTCCACTCACAAATTGGTAGGTACATCACTCACCTATGCATGTCCCTACTCACACACTGGTAGGTAAATCACACACCTATGCTTCTCCTCTCTCACACACTGGTAAGTACATCACTCACCTATGCGTCTCCCCACTCACACATTGGTAGGTACATCACTCATCTATGCGTCTCCCCACTCACACACTGGTAGGTACATCACTCATCTATGCATCTCTCCACTCACACAATGGTAGGTACATTACTCACCTATGCGTATCTGCGCTCACACACTGGTAGGTACATCACTTACATATACATCTTCTCACTTACACACTGGTAGGTACATCACTCACATATACATCTCCTCACTCACACACTGGTAGGTACATCACTCATATATACATCTTCTCACTCACACACTGGTAGGTACATCACTCATATATACATCTTCTCACTCACACACTGGTAGGTACATCACTCATATATACATCTTCTCACTCACACACTGGTAGGTACATCACTCATATATACATATTCTCACTCACACACTGGTAGGTATATCACTCACGTATACATCTCTCCACTCACACACTGGTTGTTACATTACTCACTTATGCATCTTCCCACTCACACACTGGTAGGTACATTACTCACCTATGCGTATCTGCGCTCACACACTGGTAGGTACATCACTTACATATACATCTTCTCACTCACACACTGGTAGGTACATCACTCACATATACATCTTCTCACTCACACACTGGTAGGTACATCACTCATATATACATCTTCTCACTCACACACTGGTAGGTACATCACTCATTTATACATCTTCTCACTCACACACTGGTAGGTACATCACTTCACATATACATCTCCTCACTCACACACTGGTAGGTACATCACTCACCTACACATCTCTCCACTCACACATTGGTAGGTACATCAGTCACCTATGCGTCTCTCCACTCACACATTGGTAGGTACATCACTCACCTATGCGTCTCCCCACTCACACACTGGTAGGTACATCACTCACCTATGCGTCTCTCCACTCACACATTGGTAGGTACATCACTCACCTACACATCTCTCCACTCACACATAGGTAGGTACATCACTCACCTACACATCCCTCCACTCACACATTGGTAGGTACATCACTCACCTACACATCTCTCCACTCACACACTGGTAGGTACAACACTCACCTACACGTCTCTCCACTCACACACTGGTAGGTACATCACTCACCTACACGTCTCTCCACTCACACACTGGTAGGTACATCACTCACCTACACATCTCCCCACTCACACATTGGAAGGTACATCACTCACCTACACATCTCTCCACTCACACACTGGTAGGTACATCACTCACCTATGCGTCTCCCCACTCACACATTGGTAGGTACATCACTCATCTATGCGTCTCCCCACTCACACACTGGTAGGTACATCACTCATCTATGCATCTCTCCACTCACACACTGGTAGGTACATTACTCACCTATGCGTATCTGCGCTCACACACTGGTAGGTACATCACTTACATATACATCTTCTCACTTACACACTGGTAGGTACATCACTCACATATACATCTCCTCACTCACACACTGGTAGGTACATCACTCATATATACATCTTCTCACTCACACACTGGTAGGTACATCACTCATATATACATCTTCTCACTCACACACTGGTAGGTACATCACTCATATATACATCTTCTCACTCACACACTGGTAGGTATATCACTCACGTATACATCTCTCCACTCACACACTGGTTGTTACATTACTCACTTATGCATCTTCCCACTCACACACTGGTAGGTACATTACTCACCTATGCGTATCTGCGCTCACACACTGGTAGGTACATCACTTACATATACATCTTCTCACTCACACACTGGTAGGTACATCACTCACATATACATCTTCTCACTCACACACTGGTAGGTACATCACTCATATATACATCTTCTCACTCACACACTGGTAGGTACATCACTCATTTATACATCTTCTCACTCACACACTGGTAGGTACATCACTTCACATATACATCTCCTCACTCACACACTGGTAGGTACATCACTCATATATACATCTTCTCACTCACACACTGGTAGGTACATCACTCATATATACATCTTCTCACTCACACACTGGTAGGTACATCACTCATATATACATCTTCTCACTCACACACTGGTAGTTACATCACTCACATATACATCTCCTCACTCACACACTATGTCCTGGAAATGAGTTATTGTTTCACTGATTAGTCAATGATGGATATATTCTAGACCATGCATTGTTGTGTAGAAATCTGGAACAGAGCTGACAGGTGTAAAGCCTAGAACAGAGCTGACAGGTGTAAAGCCTAGAACAGAGCTGACAGGTGTAAAGCCTAGAACAGAGCTGACAGGTGTAAAGCCTGGAACAGAGCTGACAGGTGTAAAGCCTGGAACAGAGCTGACAAGCCAAAAGCCTGGAAAATATCTGTGTATATTTGTCACCTGAAAAAAAAGGGGAGAGTTCCAAGATCTGTTACAATTATTGTGCTTAGCTCTTTTTGATCATGCCAGCAAAATTCTTTTCACAGATCATCATGAGGAGAATCGAGAATAAATAGGAATAATGAATTACAAAAAGCAAAGCGGGTTTTAGACGTGAAACAAGAAACCATATTTTTAATGTGAAAATCATTCTAGAGAAGTGTAGAGAGTACAAGATAGATCTCCATACTTGTTTCATAGACTACAGCATTTGACTGTGGGCAACACTATAAACTATTACATATTATAGGAAGCATAGGAATTCTAATACATCTAGTGCACTTAATAGATAACCTTTACCGTGAACAACAAGCTGCAGTCTGAGTGGCTGTTGAAATGTCAGAGTGGTTTGACGTGCAGAAAGGAGTGAGACAGGGATTCTCCGTCCTTTTTTCAGCATATATGCAAAAATTGTCACGAGAAAAGCAATTAGCAACGCAGAGATTAAATAGCATGAAAAACCTATGGCAAAGCAGTTGTAAATTAGTTAAAGTAAAAGTCTTGAGATCATGCATTTTTCCTGTGTCAGCTTACGGTTGTGAGTCCTGATCTCTCGCTCAATTACTGATACAAAAAAATATTTAAAAAAAAAACAAAAAAAAAAAACGATTGGAGCCTTAACTGGGAAAATAACGTCCTGTGCCGAAAACTTGAGTATTTTGGCACATTAAATCTTATGGTGGCTTGGGAAAGAACGTGATGGAGAATGCAGGTTGTGGAAATCGAGGCAGGTGTTGACCTCCGCAAAGATGGAAACTGGACATTGAAGATGTATTAGTGTTGAAAGCACATGAGGCAGGAGAGCTGGCTAGGAAAAGGGATACTTTCAGGTGCGCCGCGAAGAGAGCCACGTTCTGGATTAGCTGATTGACGACGATGATGATGAGTAACTTTTTCCTGTAAATGAGGTATTGTTTCACTGATAAGTCATCGAATATGTCTTGTAAATGAGTTTTTGTTTTGTTTACTGATGAGTCATCGAATATGTCTTGTAAATGAGGTATTGTTTCACTGATAAGTCATCGAATATGTCTTGTAAATGAGGTATTGTTTCACAGATAAGTCATCGAATATGTCTTGTAAATGAGGTATTGTTTCACTGATAAGTCATCGAATATGTCTTGTAAATGAGGTATTGTTTCACTGATAAGTCATCGAATATGTCTTGTAAATGAGGTATTGTTTCACCGATAAGTCATCGAATATGTCTTGTAAATGAGTTTTTGTTTTGTTTACTGATAAGTCATCGAATATGTCTTGTAAATGAGTTTTTGTTTTGTTTACTGATGAGTCATCGAATATGTCTTGTAAATGAGGTATTGTTTCACCGATAAGTCATCGAATATGTCTTGTAAATGAGTTTTTGTTTTGTTTACTGATAAGTCATCGAATATGTCTTGTAAATGAGTTTTTGTTTTGTTTACTGATAAGTCATCGAATATGTCTTGTAAATGAGTTTTTGTTTTGTTTACTGATAAGTCATCGAATATGTCTTGTAAATGAGGTATTGTTTCACTGATAAGTCATCGAATATGTCTTGTAAATGAGGTATTGTTTCACTGATAAGTCATCGAATATGTCTTGTAAATGAGGTATTGTTTCACTGATAAGTCATCGAATATGTCTTGTAAATGAGGTATTGTTTCACTGATAAGTCATCAAATATGTCTTGTAAATGAGGTATTGTTTCACTGATAAGTCATCGAATATGTCTTGTAAATGAGTTTTTGTTTTGTTTACTGATAACTCATCGAATATGTCTTGTAAATTAGTTTTTGTTTTGTTTACTGATAAGTCATCGAATATGTCTTGTAAATGAGGTTTTGTTTCACTGATAAGTCATCGAATATGTCTTGTAAATGAGTTTTTGATTTGTTTACTGATAAGTCATCGAATATGTCTTGTAAATGAGGTTTTGTTTACTGATAAGTCATCGAATATGTCTTGTAAATGAGTTATTGTTTTGTTTACTGATAAGTCATCGAATATGTCTTGTAAATGAGGTTTTGTTTACTGATAAGTCATCGAATATGTCTTGCAAATGAGTTATTGTTTTGTTTACTGATAAGTCATCGAATTTGTCTTGTAAATGAGTTTTTGTTTTGTTTACTGATAAGTCGTCGAATATGTCTTGTAAATGAGTTTTTGTTTTGTTTACTGATGAGTGAGTGCCTGCTTATGTCTTGTAAATGAGTTATTGTGTCGTTGATGGTCATCGTCTTTGTGCTAGCGCGATTTCACCGTGAGCTGGCCAGAGGCAGCTTGTCCGGTCCGGTGAACCTGCAGGTGGAGGAGCTAGAGACCACAGTTGGAGACCTGGAAGACAGGATTCACATGATGGAGAATTTGGGAGAAACACTGGCTTCTTCCATGGAGAGTGCAGCTGTACGTATTGATGTGACCTGTTTCCACATATGTCTAACTTGATACACCTGTGTCAGCGTATGTCCACCTGTTTCATCTGCACTGACATATGTCAAACTGTGCCTACACGTGACTGTCTGTGTCTACCTGTGTCTAGCTGTGTCTACCTGTTTGTATCTCTTTCCATCCCTATCTACCTGTGTCTACTTCTGTCTACTTGTGTCCACACGTGTCCACCTGTATCTACCTACGTCTACCTGTGACTCTTTGTATCGAGTTGTATCTACCTATGTCTACCTGTGACTCCTTATGTCCAGTTGTATCTACTTTATCTACCTATGTCTACCCATGTCTTGCTGGGTCTTGTTGTATCTGCCAGTATATACATATGTCTACCTATGTCTGCCTGTCTCTACATCTGCTTAACTATGCCAGTGTATGTCTGACTGTGTACACCTATGTCTGCCAGTCTCTACATCTGCTTAACTATGCCAGTGTATGTCTGACTGTGTACACCTATGTCTGCCAGTCTCTACATCTGTTTAACTCTGTCAGTCTATGTCTGACTGTGTACACCTGTGTCTGCCAGTCTCTACATCTGTTTAACTCTGCCAGTCTATGTCTGACTGTGTACACCTATGTCTGCCAGTCTCTACATCTGTTTAACTCTGTCAGTCTATGTCGGACTGTGTGCACCTCTGTCTGCCTGTCTCTACATCTGTTTAACTCGGGTCAGTCTATGTCTGACTGTGTACACCTGTGTCTGCCAGTCTCTACATCTGTTTAACTCTGCCAGTCTATGTCTGACTGTGTACACCTATGTCTGCCAGTCTCTACATCTGTTTAACTCTGTCAGTCTATGTCTGACTGTGTACACCTATGTCTGCCAGTCTCTACATCTGTTTAACTCTGCCAGTCTATGTCTGACTGTGTACACCTGTGTCTGCCAGTCTCTACATCTGTTTAACTCTGTCAGTCTATGTCTGACTGTGTACACCTGTGTCTGCCTGTCTCTACATCTGTTTAACTCTGTCAGTCTATGTCTGACTGTGTACACCTGTGTCTGCCTGTCTCTACATCTGTTTAACTCTGTCAGTCTATGTCTGACTGTGTACACCTATGTCTGCCAGTCTCTACATCTGTTTAACTCTCTCAGTCTATGTCTGACTGTGTACACCTGTGTCTGCCAGTCTCTACATCTGTTTAACTCTGCCAGTCTATGTCTGCCAGTCTCTACATCTGTTTAACTCTCTCAGTCTATGTCTGACTGTGTACACCTGTGTCTGCCAGTCTCTACATCTGTTTAACTCTGCCAGTCTATGTCTGACTGTGTACACCTGTGTCTGCCAGTCTCTACATCTGTTTAACTCTGTCAGTCTATGTCTGACTGTGTACACCTGTGTCTGCCTGTCTCTACATCTGTTTAACTCTGTCAGTCTATGTCTGACTGTGTACACCTGTGTCTGCCAGTCTCTACATCTGTTTAACTCTGCCAGTCTATGTCTGACTGTGTACACCTGTGTCTGCCTGTCTCTACATCTGTTTAACTCTGTCAGTCTATGTCTGACTGTGTACACCTGTGTCTGCCTGTCTCTACATCTGTTTAACTCTGCCAGTCTATGTCTGACTGTGTACACCTGTGTCTGCCAGTCTCTACGTCTGTTTAACTCTGTCAGTCTATGTCTGACTGTGTACACCTGTGTCTGCCAGTCTCTACATCTGTTTAACTCTGTCAGTCTATGTCTGACTGTGTACACCTGTGTCTGCCAGTCTCTACATCTGTTTAACTCTGTCAGTCTATGTCTGACTGTATACACCTGTGTCTGCCAGTCTCTACATCTGTTTAACTCTGTCAGTCTATGTCTGACTGTGTACACCTGTGTCTGCCAGTCTCTACATCTGTTTAACTCTGTCAGTCTATGTCTGACTGTGTACACCTGTGTCTGCCAGTCTCTACATCTGTTTAACTCTGTCAGTCTATGTCTGACTGTGTACACCTGTGTCTGCCAGTCTCTACATCTGTTTTAACTCTGTCAGTCTATGTCTGACTGTGTACACCTGTGTCTGCCAGTCTCTACATCTGTTTAACTCTGTCAGTCTATGTCTGACTGTGTACACCTGTGTCTGCCTGTCTCTACATCTGTTTAACTCTCTCAGTCTATGTCTGACTGTGTACACCTGTGTCTGCCAGTCTCTACATCTGTTTAACTCTGTCAGTCTATGTCTGACTGTGTACACCTATGTCTGCCAGTCTCTACATCTGTTTAACTCTGTCAGTCTATGTCTGACTGTGTACACCTATGTCTGCCAGTCTCTACATCTGTTTAACTCTGTCAGTCTATGTCTGACTGTGTACACCTGTGTCTGCCAGTCTCTACATCTGTTTAACTATGTCAGTCTATGTCTGACTGTGTACACCTGTTTCTGCCAGTCTCTACATCTGTTTAACTCTCTCAGTCTATGTCTGACTGTGTACACCTGTGTCTGCCAGTCTCTATATCTGCTTAACTATGTCAGTCTATGTCTGACTGTGTACACCTGTGTCTGCCAGTCTCTACATCTGTTTAACTCTGTCAGTCTATGTCTGACTGTGTACACCTGTGTCTGCCAGTCTCTACATCTGTTTAACTCTGTCAGTCTATGTCTGACTGTGTACACCTGTGTCTGCCAGTCTCTACATCTGTTTAACTATGTCAGTCTATGTCTGACTGTGTACACCTGTGTCTGCCAGTCTCTACATCTGTTTAACTCTCTCAGTCTATGTCTGACTGTGTACACCTATGTCTGCCAGTCTCTACATCTGTTTAACTCTCTCAGTCTATGTCTGACTGTGTACACCTGTGTCTGCCAGTCTCTACATCTGTTTAACTCTCTCAGTCTATGTCTGACTGTGTACACCTATGTCTGCCAGTCTCTACATCTGTTTAACTCTCTCAGTCTATGTCTGACTGTGTACACCTGTGTCTGCCAGTCTCTACATCTGCTTAACTATGTCAGTCTATGTCTGACTGTGTACACCTGTGTCTGCCAGTCTCTACATCTGTTTAACTCTCTCAGTCTATGTCTGACTGTGTACACCTGTGTCTGCCAGTCTCTACATCTGTTTAACTCTGTCAGTCTATGTCTGACTGTGTACACCTGTGTCTGCCAGTCTCTACATCTGTTTAACTCTGTCAGTCTATGTCTGACTGTGTACACCTGTGTCTGCCTGTCTCTACATCTGTTTAACTCTGTCAGTCTATGTCTGACTGTGTACACCTGTGTCTGCCTGTCTCTACATCTGTTTAACTCTGCCAGTCTATGTCTGACTGTGTACACCTGTGTCTGCCAGTCTCTACATCTGTTTAACTCTGTCAGTCTATGTCTGACTGTGTACACCTGTGTCTGCCTGTCTCTACATCTGTTTAACTATGTCAGTCTATGTCTGACTGTGTACACCTGTGTGTGCCTGTCTCTACATCTGTTTAACTCTGTCAGTCTATGTCTGACTGTGTACACCTGTGTCTGCCAGTCTCTACATCTGTTTAACTCTGTCAGTCTATGTCTGACTGTGTACACCTGTGTCTGCCTGTCTCTACATCTGTTTAACTCTCTCAGTCTATGTCTGACTGTGTACACCTGTGTCTGCCAGTCTCTACATCTGTTTAACTCTGTCAGTCTATGTCTGACTGTGTACACCTGTGTCTGCCTGTCTCTACATCTGTTTAACTCTGTCAGTCTATGTCTGACTGTGTACACCTGTGTCTGCCAGTCTCTACATCTGTTTAACTCTGTCAGTCTATGTCTGACTGTGTACACCTGTGTCTGCCAGTCTCTACATCTGTTTAACTCTGTCAGTCTATGTCTGACTGTGTACACCTGTGTCTGAAGAAGTTAAGTATGACCATGATCTGTCTCCCGTCTTCTGTACTCTATTCGGTGTGTTCAAAAGCGTGTTTTGTCAGCTTGAGATTTGCTGTTGCTTTCATACGTTTCTTATTTGTTCCTGTGCAGTTCAGGTTGATGAAAAGTTCAGTCGTTAGCTATGTTTTATGCTTTTGTTCTCCTTGATACAAGCACCCGTTAGGTTGCAGTCAATGTTCCAAGTGACTTTGGTGCTCACCTGGCCACTACCTTGCAGGAATTTGTACTGGATTCGATGTAGTTCAGATTAGTCACACGCATAAACACATCTGTCATGATTGTGTGCATCAGTCTACTAGGCTGTGTCAACTCTAGCACCACTAGTTCTCTGGTTTCATATTAGTTATCTTTATATTTTCACATCAGGGCAAGGCGTATTGAGTACAGTCTGGCGTAAGAAGCATGAAACACACACCTTTAGGGAGAAAAACTGGTTTCAAACACCCCCCCCCCCCTCCCCCCTGATGGAATGCTGAGATGGAGAAAATTTGGATAAATAAGCAGACAGCCGTCAAACAGTGGCAATAGAAGGAAACAATGTAGAACTGCTCAGCCCGACCATATACATGTGCTTGAACAGGTCATACATGAGAAGACTGTCTGTTTCGTAATCGCTAAAGTTAAGAAGTAGGCGGGGTTCTGCATGCAAATACAAATCACTTAAATTGTTTTGGCGCTTGCATAAAAGAATGAATAGTGCATAAAAAAGAAAGTGCATTCCAGACTTTCAGACTGGTAGCCTTACTTGACACAGAACTAACAAGCAAAACCACGGCATTTGTTGAGGACATATCTCTTTTTGCCAAAGTGTAAATATTGCATCAGTACAACTTCTGTTTATCCGAAATCCCATTTGACCTACTCTAAGTTGTAGTTCGGTGACAGGACGTAGCTTTTTTCTCAAGGATCTTGCAAACTATTTGTTTGGTGACGCTCAGTAACGAAACTCCTCTGTACTTCTCACAGCCTCTCTGGCTGCCTTTCTTCTTCCAGATGGGTACTGCAATTAGGTTTCTCCAGTCCTCTTGTGTCTCTTGTGCTGTCCAGACTAGGTTGTAGAGTCTGTCCATCCATTTTACGTCTACTTCCTCTGTTGCTTGAAGTAGTTCGGCAGGTAA